CTGACACTACAGCTGTTTTGCCACGGTGGCATAGGTAGCTCTGAAACTGGGGTGCCTTTGTTTTCCACATACTGTACCTTTAAATGGATAACGACTCTTGCCATCTGCCAAGAAAGCAGCCATGTTGTTTCCAGAATTGCTGCAGGATGCTACTGGGGAGACATGCATGCTGTGCTCTCTTGTGGACAGACTATATTTTGTTCGTTCATGTCCTGTATTTACCGTAACCGAAGCTAAACATACTTCAGACTGAAGGTGTATGGTTGATCTCAGTGTCTGGAAGGATATGTGTCTCAGGGGAATGGACTTTTGCCATGAGAGAGCTTGGATGACAAAATAAAGTTCTGTGTGATCTTGGACACTTATCTGTCACCCATGGGAGGGAGGGTTATAACTCTGTCAGAAGCTATTATACCACCACAATGGGTAGGAACAGATAGATGATAACACCTTACTCTTATCAGTAGATCTCAGAGCACTTTACGGGGGGGGGGGGGATATCATTATTCCCATTGTACAGATGGGAAAACTGAGGCACATGACTTGCTCATGGTCACCTAGCAGGCCAGTGCTGGGAATAGAACCCAGCTCTCCTAGGCCAGTGCTCTGTCCACTAGGCCACACTTGCCTAGATAGATAGAGCAGAACCAGACTGCATTCCAGGTGTGCATAGGAGTCCAGAGCATGTGGGGTTTGGATGCCACTACCTGTCTGGTATCACAGCAGCCATTCCTAGGAACACTGGGACTGTTCAGCTTAGAAAAGAGACGACTAAGGGGGGATATGATAGAGGTCTATAAAATCATGGATGGTGTGGAGAACGTGAATAGGGAAGTGTTATTTACCCCTTCACATAACACAAGAGCCAAGGGTCACTCGATAAAATGAATAGGCAGCAGATTTAAAACAAACAAAAGGAAGTACTTCTTCACACAATGCTCCATCAACCTGTGGAACTTGCTGCCAGGAGATGTTGTGAAGGCCAAAAGCGTAACTGGGTTCAGTAAAGAAGTACACAGGTTCAGGGAAGATAGGTCCATCACTGGCTATTAGCTAAGGTCAGGGATGTAATTCCATGCTCTGGGTGTCCCTAGGCCTGTGACTGCCTGATGCTGGGACTGGACGACAGGGGATGGATCATGCAATAACTGCCCTATTCTGTTCATTCACCCTGAAGCACCTGGCATTGGCCACTGTCAGAAGACAGGATACTGGGCTAGATGGACCTTTGGTCTGACCCAGTATGGCTGTTTTTATGTTCTTATTTTCACCTGCCAGGAGTAAGGTCCTCACTGAATTTTTAATGCCACTTGAAATGGATGCTTTTATTATTGTCATTACACTTGATTTCCATTGCGGCAGCATGACAGAGCTGGGCACGTTGGATCCAGTTATGAACATATTGTTCTGTGTGCTGAACACACGTCTCACAGACAGCTGTCCTAGCCGGGAAGGGGCTCGACACCTCACAGAAGGACCATCCCAAAGAAACCTTCAAGACAGGACTCTAGGGCCATTGCCTTTGTATGACTCTCAATTGTTGGCCCAGCCCATGGACCAATGGGCTTCCAACCATGGTGCCTGCAGGTTGGGGGAGCACAAGATCCCCATTGCCACACTTAAGGAGGACTTGCAGGAAAGTGAGAGCAGGCAGGACTCTGCCCAGCCTGGGATGCTGACATACCTCGGACTGGCCGGGAGGAGTGAGATCAGACGTGGGAGGGGTGTCTCAGGACTTCTCTTTCCAAAGCTCTGTAACTCGAATGCTTTCAGAGTAAGGTCACTGTGGCCCTTTGCTAAGTGTGTGAGCCTTGCTTTCCTGCCACATTGTCTCTGAAGGGGTTAAACTTGCAGCCCATTGCGCTCCCAGCCCAGGTGGAGCTCTGAGGGGTTGTGACATCGCTGAACATAGATGCTGGAACTAGGGGTGCTGGGGGGGCTGCTGCTCCCCCTGACCTGGAGTGGTTTCCATCATATACAGGGTTTACAGTTTGGTTTAATGGTTCTCAGCACTATACAAACTGTTCCAGCCCCCCTGTCTCTGACACTGATTTCAGGATCTAGGGCAGCTGGGCAGCAGCAGGATGGGTGTCAGACAAGAGGACTGAGCCTGGGAGTGTGATAGGAACAGTGACTAGGTTCTGGCCTGACCCAAAAGGCTTGGAAGCACATGGGACCCAGACTGGTGACTGGACAGAGTGGTACAGGCCAGGTTGTAACAGGTAGCACCTAGAGGACCCCGTGTGAGGCTCAAGGCCTCATTGACATAGAACAAAAAGACAGTCCCTGCTCCAGAAAGCTGACAATCTAAACAACCCGCTGTCCACAGAAACCGCCCAATAGCTCCCAGGCCTGTGGGAATCGCGGCACGCTGCCTGCCCGACGTAGAAATGCCAGTCTTTCCCCACGCTCCCTTAGGCTGGCTCCTGATTCTCGAGGAACTGCTGCCCTCTAGGGGTACATCTACACAGCAAAGAAAAACCTGCGGCCGGCCTGTTCCAGCCAACTCAGGCTGGTGGGGCTCCGGGCTGTTTCATTGCTGTGTAGACGCCTGGGCTCAAGCTGGAGCCCGGGCTCTAGGACCCTGCCCACACCTGGAAGTCTACACAGCAATGAACAGCCCTACACCTGAGCCCCATGAGCCCATGTCGGCTGGCATGGCCAGCTGCGGGTTTTGCTTTGCTGTGTAGACGTAACCCTAGGAAAAAAGCAGCATAGGTGTAGTTTGACTTTAATATTTGTGGGGGGCAGCTCCAGTCAGTCCAACGAGGCCATGCGTGTGTGGGGGGGAGCAAGTTCCACGCCTGCCTGAGGCTTGTAGTTGGGGGGGCAATGGCTCACCGCCCACCCCCACCCCGTTCCTCCCAATCTACACCCATGGGGGAATGTTTTGAAAGAGCTCCTGTGAACCATTTGGAGGAGCTGTGAGCAAGGGAGCAGCTGGAGAGGAGCCTTTGCAGGAATCCCTCTCCCTGGAGGGGCAGGAGCCATGTGCACTGGCTGAGACTGGGGCAGAGAGAGATTTGATGGAGATTCAAGCATCCCACTCTCCAGATCTTACCCCCTCGCTTGTTGCTCTTTCTTTGATTCCACTGCTCACAGGATTAGAGCTGGCCAGAACTCAGTTTTCCCTTTGCAGCAAGCACAGTGGATTTGCCATGAAAGCAAGCAAGGAAGAGTCACTTTCAAACCCAGTTAAGGGTTCACATCTCTCCGACTTAAACCTCGATTCATTTACCTGGCACATCACGTTTGTTACCATTGTTTCTTTCAGCCACTCCTTCAGTCAATAGAAGTAGATCGTCATCGCCTTTGCTAATTGCTGAGGTGAGGATGTTTGTGTGGGAACTAGAGCTAATGGTGACTCCCTCCCCAAATGTTCTCTCCCCTGGTTGCATCTGGCAGTTTAACTCGCCAGAAGCCTGCATCTGTGACAGTGCATGGTACAGGCGGATATTCGTTTCCCTGTCATCTTCCTGCCATGGCAGGTGTGCGGTGTTGTGCTGATGATTTTGCAGTAGGAGAAGCCAGGAAGAGAGAAAGCAAGACCCTGATTGTGTTAAACCCCAGGCCACCAAGCTCAGATCCACTTCTGGGGCTATGGCTACTCTACAGCTTAAGAAGACATAAATTATGTCACCCAGGCGTATGAATTAGCCACTCCCCTGAAAGACATTACTTATGCCGGTTTAAGCGCTGGTGTGGATAGAGCTATGTCGGTGGGAGAGCTTCTCCCATCGACGGTGACTAGAGTAATTAAGCCGACAGAAGAGTTTTCTCCCGTCGGCTCAGAATGGCTACGCTAGAGATCTTGCAGTTTGCAGCCACATGGGTGCAACCGCACCACTGTAAGCTCTCTGGTGTAGCCATAGCCTGGGTCTGAAGTCCAGTGGTGTTTGCATGGGGTGGGGGTGGGAAGTGATTTGGACCATGCTAGAAATGGGGGGTGGGGCACAATTTGGAAATTTGGATGCAGGTCGGAATTCGGGGATGTGTGGATCTGGAGCCAGCTCCAGCACTGCGGAGTTTAAATCGGGGGAGTTTTGATCCAGGTTCTTCTTTACCTCCAGTAACAGCGAAGGGAACAGCACAGAAAATGACTGGCTTGAGATTATGTCCTGAAGGATAAAGATCCTCTTGTTTCCAGTGATCTGGCAGCGGAGAATGGAGAGCAAAAGATTCAGCCTGGCCAGAAACACACATACTCACAGCACCTCCCCTGCTAATGGTCCATGGACCCAGTTAACACCCCTGCTTGTCCTGCAGTGACAACCCCCAAGGCCCTGCCCTTGAGCGCACAGCACCCATGCCCTTGGCTCCTCTCCTTCATGTGACTGGTTTGAAACTGGGAGGCAGGGTCTGTTCTCACCTAAGGAGCTGTTTTTCCTGGGCTGCCCATCCCAGCAACAAAGTGGTTCCTGCCTAGGAAAGGAAAGAAAAGAAAGTCCCCAGGCCAAGCAGTCATTTGGTGAAGTCTATTGAAAACAAAAGGCCTGATTCTGCTCGCATACTGGCACCACCCCATTCATTCCTCCTGATCTACACCAGGCAAATCCAGCCGAAAGGGAGCCAGGCCCCAACTGGTGTAAGTCTGGGGACAACCATCCAAGTAAGTGGAGCACTATGGAACTCCACAGACTGGGGATCTAGCCCAGATTGTGCCCCCTCCCCCTCCCCCTTTCAAAGTTTAGCAGCTGGTTCCTGTTGGGCCTCTCTCCTTTACACCGCTGTCAATCAGGAGTAAAGCCATTGCAGCCGCTGTGGAAGAGGAGAATTGGAGCCTTTCCGAGCAATCCCAGGAAGTGGTTCTCTGTGGGGGGCTGGATCTGGGAAGCAGAAAGAAGTGAGCTCTGTATATGATCTAAGTGGCTTCCCCCTCCCCTTGCCGCTTAGCGAGGCTGGGAATATGAAATCAGTCCACGTCTTGAACATGAAGGAGAGGGGGTGGGGGGGTGGGAAGGAGGAGAGAGCAACGCTCGTCTTTTGAAAAGCCTCTGGGATTGTTTGGGTTCCTTAATCCAGTCGAAAGAAGGGGGCAGGACTTTGAGCTGCCCTTAATCGCTTTTCCCTTTGCCAAACATCCCAGCGGTAAGAGCAACGCTGGGCAGAGTGCGAGAGGGGAAAAAGCTGGCTTGCAATAGCCCCCAGCCCCTCTGCCTGTGCCCTGAGGAAGCTCCAGAGCGCTGGAAGGTGAGAGAAGCTGGCGGTCCCTCCCTGTGGCCCATCTTTTCTCCTGCAAGTTTGCAGCGCAGAGAGGCGATCTCTCCTCTGGTAATTTTGCTGTCTCTGTAAGCTTAGCTGGAGCCTCCCCCCAGCTGCTGCAGGAGCCCCAGCCAAGTTAATGCAGAGAGCGACTTAACTCCACTTATTATTTTTGTTTTGCAGGGCCGTGCAGGGAGGATTGGCAGCGCTGATCTGAGTTCTCTCCCCCCGTCCCTGCAAGCTCAGCCTCCTCCTTCTTGATCCCAGCTAAACCTGGGCTTTATTCCGACCGGGCCTGGCACCGGGCCACTACACTTCTCGTGAGTCCCTGTGCCAAGGGGGCTTCTCTTTTTTTCTCAATGAGAGATCCTTGAGCGTGGTGCCTTGGCAGGCGGAGGGGGAGCGTGGGAGCACGTCGGGGGGATCGGCTGAGTTCAAGAAGGATCAAGGGCTCTGGGTGAGCTCAGAAGCTCTGGCCCCACGGACGGCCACGATGAGCACGCAGCAGCTCCGCTGGATGAGATGCCTGCCAGCTGCCCTGTGGCTGTGCTGCCTGCTGCCTGAGGGGAGCTGCACCTGGAGCCTGGCAGGACTCCAGTACGCCAACCGAAGGTAAAGAGCGTCTCGGCAAGGGCAAGCTATGGGCCACTGGGCTGGGCAGCAGGAGACCCAGCTTCTGTTCTTGGCTCTGCTGCTGGGAGCCTTGGCCAAGGCTGGGTGGCTTGAATGCCCCCTCTGTAGAAGTGTCGTCCTCCTTTGTACAACTTCTGGAGCTCTACAGGGGCGAGGTTCTTGTCCTCACCATTCTGCGGCATGCCATCAACCCAGCGGGGGGCCTGGCTCTAGGTGGGCATGTGAAAATGCCCATAGATAGGGATAGTAGCGGGAAGAGACCTGATCTGTGAATGTCTGTTGAGAGTAACAGGTGAGTGGCAGCTGGGCGTATAGGGGGCCTTTTGGCCCTAGCATGCTGGCTTGGGTTGGCCTGTGGTGGGGCTCAGCTCAGTTAAGTACTTCCCAGCTTGTCTCTGCAGAAAGGCTTGGAGGGAACAATCTGCATCAGCTGAATTTCCTTTGGATGAGCTGGCAGGTTGGGGTTAAGGTATCTTAGGGTGACCAGACGTCCCGATTTTATAGGGACAGTCCCGATTTTGGGGTCTTTTTCTTATATAGGTTCCTACTACCCCCCACCCCCGTCCCGATTTTTCACATTTGCTGTCTGGTCACCCTAAGGTATCTTGGCTGAGGAGCCTGGGGCTCCCAGCTCCAGGCTGCTGTCTATGATCTGTTTGGTCTGTGGACAGACCAGGGCTGTTAAACCAGCACCCCAGTCAGTGTGGGGAGCTCTCACTGAGGTCTGGGGAACCCTGGAGGAGCATCCAGCTTTTGTGATGTTTACGGGAAACGTTTTGCTTTGGAAATATCTCCATCACTGGATCCGTGGGACCGTCCGCTGCCGGCTGGATCAGGGACACTGTGTGCAGAAGCGTTCTCTTTTCCCCCTCCTGTCCCAGGCAAACCCAGGAAGCACAGAGCAGTGCCAAGTTAGAAGCAGCTTTTCCCAGCCCCGCTGAGTAGCTCGAGGCACAGCTTGGGCTGAGGGTGCAGGGCAGCTGTCGGCTTATTCCATGCAGGAACGGCCAGAGAAGCAACACTTGGCTCTGATTCCAAACTTCTGGAGAATCATCCGGGGGGATTCAGAGCTGGGGTTTGGTTCAGGCCCTTCACTAGTAGTCTTTGATTCAACTGAGTGTACAGCAAGAGGGTGGTAGGGAAACCTTACACACACACCCTCCTTAGCCCTAGCAGAGAGCTGGCCCTGGGAACACCCTGGCCCACTGGGTGCTGTGGGAGTCGTGCTGCTGCTGTGGGTGAACAATGCTGATGCTGGAGTGAAGCAGGACTCAGGGACAAGGGGGCTTTCAAGTACGAGTTCAAGGTCTCCGCTGGGAACATCTGCAGAGAAAACTGGGCTGGGGTGAAGCAGCTCCAACCTGCCCCAGCCAGCAGATACTTTCCCAGCCCAGTCAGAGGCCAGGGAGCGGTGGGGAGAGTGACTGAATAGGCCACAGATGCTGTCCGCCAATGGCATGTGGGGGAAGGAGACAGCAGTAATGGAAATGCACTGGATTCCCGCCTTGTGTGGGACCAGGCCAGCAATGAGTGACGGCCCCTCCCCAGCCACACCTTACCCAACCATGGTCCCTGGCTTCCTTTGCTCGCTAGTGCTGGAGTCTTGCTCTTCAGCAAGTTTGAAAATTCGGCTGCTCTAGCCATGGGGCGTAGCTGTCATGGTGAGCCGTGCCCTAGCAATCCCATAGAGAGATCAGATGGCTAGATCCAGACCATGATGGAGATCCACTTGGGGAGACTCATGATCCCTAGGATCACACCTGCCCCCAATGGCTACAGGGTCTCCAGACTTAGACCTGTGCTGCTTCCCCTCCTACCCATCCCCTGCCCTGCTCTTTGCTGGCTGCCTTTGCCACATGCCAAGGGGAGCGCCTGCTCTCTGGCCCTCGCCCACCCTGGGAAAGTTGTCTCCACAGCTTCTTGTCACTGATCTATTTAGGGCTGAACTGTTTAGCTTTTCCACAGTGGATGGTTTAGTTTTCAGGTCCCATGGGTTTGCCATGGCAGGGCCTCCCTGCCACATCCCTGCTGAGGTTCATAGCTACAAAAAGGACATAAGCTATGCCAAATGCTGCCTTGCCCTCCGCCGTGGGATCCACAAACCTAACTTGCTTGCAGGCTTCCTGTTTAATGATTAACCCCTTATGCCTAGCAATCTGACCACATTATCTGGGATGAGGAACCTGTGTATAGAGGGGGCGGAGAGGCAGTGCTGTCTAATGAATAGAGCAAGGGATTGGGAGCCAGAACACCTGGGGTCTAATCTCATTTCTGAATGAATCATTTCCCCAGCCTGTGCCTCAGTTTCCCCATTTGTTAAAGAGGTGTAATGAGAGCAGGGCCGCCCAGAGGATTCAGGGGGCCTGGGGCAAAGCAGGGGAGCTGCAGCGCTTGTACTCACCCGGCAGCGGTCCGGGTCTTTGGCGGCAGGTCCTTCAGTGCTGCCGAAGACACGGAGTGACTGAAGGGCCCCCCCGCTGCCAAAGACCTGGACTGCCCCTGGGCCCATTGCCCCACTTGCCCCCCCTCTGGGCAGCCCTGAATGAAAGTGACAAGGTAGGTGAGGTAATAACTTACTGTTCATAGAATATCAGGGTTGGAAGGGACCTTAGGAGGTCATCTAGTCCAACGCCCTGCTCAAACAGGACCAATCCCCTGACAGATTTTTGCCCCAGATCCCTAAATGGCCCCCTCAAGGATTGAACTCACAACCCTGGGTTTAGCAGGCCAATGTGCAAACCACTGAGCTATCCCTCCCTCTCCTGTTGGTGGAAGGGACAAGCTTTTGAGCCTACACAGAGCTCTTCTTCAGGTCTGGAGAAGGTAACCAGAGTATCTGAGCTAAGTACAAGGGGGGACAGATTGTTAAGCATATGGGTTCACACATGTAAGAGATCCCTTAAAATAAAGTGAGTAATGAACACCTCTGTAGTGGTCGGAGAACCAGAGTTAGCAGGCAACAGGATGTGTTACACATTGTTGTAATGGGCCATAAAGCCAGCGTACGTCTCTGTTAAGTCCCTGGTTTTTAGTGTCTGGCAGAGTTATGAATTTAAGTTCCACTTCCCAGGCTCGTCTCTTGAAGGTGTTGTGCAGATTTCAGGCAGAGGGAGTTGAGATGAAAGGTACAATATAGGTGTTACTTATCCCCCCAAACCCACCGTCAGAAGCAATAACTGTGAGATGGGCGGGGGGAGAGGAGACCCTGGAAGGCAGAGCTTCATTCCAGC